TCGACCATGAAAGGGAGCCAGTATTTAAACGAGGCTTAATTTTCTAATTTTTAACAATACAATAGCGATGATTATTACTTTAAAAAATTTTTGTTAGGCTTAACATTGATGAAAATTCAATGCGAAGTAGGTTAATAGCGATATACTAATATACTAATTACATGGGATATAATAATATACTACACTAATAATGGATTTTTTCATACTTTTCGGTTATTCGACTTTTCAATTATCCGACCAACCCCAGTCCCCAATTGAGTCAGTAATCGAGGCTCTACTGTACTATATATATACTTTCATTTTTTCTTGTTGTTGGATCTTAACTTTATCTTTTCTCTATGAATGCATCTTATATCAGAATCTGCTAGCAGAATGTTTAGAAAGTTGAAGAATATACGAATTCATGAGATAATCATACGGTGGGTGATCAGTTAACGAACAGTTCAGACTGAACAAGTCAGACAATGAACACTTTTGCAAAAGATTTTTATTTTCGGACAACAAACACATGTTCACATAATGAACACATCACAGAACAAACACAAGAAGAAGCGATGCTGACTTTAAGATTTGTAAAACTATATTTTAATGTTATCTATACATGGTTTATGGAACAAGACTTTCACAGTTGTATACATAACCTATTTTGCACTAGTTAATTTCTGTTCTCTGAATTTTAAGTGCTTTTCTGAACTTTTTATTTATAAAACTGATAATATTATGGGGCCTAAAAAGAGTGAAGTGTCAAGAATTCCAGATGACTTCAACATGCCTACAGTAGATACAATCTTAGCTAAGAAAGATATAATCAAAAAGACTCGAGCAGATAATGGAATAACAAAAATTGCATGTGAGAAACAAAGATGTGCCATCCATGAAAAGATTGCTTTTAGTTTGTTATTACATATAAATAAACATAGTAAGAAAGTATATAACTTTTTATTTATTTTTGAGGTCTCCAGAATGATTTAATTACAACAAAAATCTATGGTAAATCGATAATTTGTTAGTGAACATGGTCTTGGAACAGATTGTTTGTTAACTGATCTTCCATTGTATTACTGAATTCTTGTAATCTTTTAAGCAGTGAAAAATCCTTTGTTGCCATGAACAATTTTCCTCTAGGTAAAATTAAGTAAATAAAATGTTTTTACTTGATAGGCTGCTAACATATTTTTAATTATCATAAAATAGCAAAAAGTTTAATTTTGAGGGTGGAGATGGGTTTTATAAAAAGTTATAAATGCTAATAATGAGTAAAATCATCATTAAGTCCGACCATAATTAAGATATGATACGTGGCTTCCTTTCATCTTTCCATCTTATTGACCTTTAACCATCAAAATTTAATAGCATCAATCCCCTAATACACAAACCTCCCTACAAAATTTCTGAAATTTTTGACAAAAAGCACACGAGTTATTAAGCTTCAAAGAGGATGAACAAAATCATGCCCGACATACACTAACATTCATACATACAGAAAATACCCCCAAATTGTTTTCCAAGTGTTATCTAAAGATTTTATGTCCCTGTAGTTAATGCATTCTTTCTTGTTTTTGTGTTTAAAAATATTAATGATGATGATAATCCTTAATAAGAGTACATGTAAGAACTGCCATAAGTGATTTTATTGTATTGTTGTGTTATATAATATAATAATCTTATAATTTAATTTATATTTACTAATAATCAAAGTATTTTAATATATACAGGGTTCCTACAAACCTGGAAAGTCAGGGATTTTTATCAGTGTTCAGAAAAAGTCATGGAATATCAGGGAATTTGTTAAAAATTGTCAAAAAGTCAGGGAATTTACTTTCTTGGCTGCCTTGTTGATTTTTTGCGACAATATGCTTGTCTAAGTGTAGCTGTCTGCAGGTAGCAAGAAGTAATGTAGTGCAGTACAACTTATGAAAAGGGGTGAAGAATATTTTCAGGACCCAAAATTTTTCAAAAAGTTTACAAAGTACACAAAATGATAAATAGTTTAAATGGTATTATTTATCATTTTTTATTTTAATAATTTTAATTGTGTAACAATTTTTGATTTTTTTTCCAGTTTTTTAATATTTTACAAAGTTTAGGAAATTTATTAAGGGATAAATTTAATAAATATATACTTTTGTACATGGATTATATAGAATTTGTTAATGAATAATAAAAAATAATTGATTTTTTTTCCTTTTTTTAAAAACAAAAAAGCCGTGTAGATTTATGGTTATGGATTAATAACAGAATTTTAATAATTCAGCAATTATAAAATATGTATAACTGTTAATTAGAGAAAATAACTAATTAAAATGTTAGAAAAGCAAAACATATATATATAGGAAGTCAAATGCTGTTTTATTTTGTCAATGTGCCATACTGTGAGGGATGAGGGTCAGGGAATTTGTACCAAAGTTTGTCGGGGAAAGTCATGGAAACTAAAACAAAAATTTGAGTAGGAACCCTGTATATAATTTGAAAATTATCATAATTAAGACCTGGTTTTGTATGTACATGTTTGTGTTTTTCCTTATGTGCTATAATGTTGAAACCTTCCTTGATATAAACATGATTTGGATTCAAGTGGATCAAATAAAAGTTGTCTAATAATGCATATTTTGAAGATTTGATTATTTTTGGGATTAAATAAATGCTTTATAAACTTTACAGCTCATTTGTATGACTTGCAAGTTCTATTTTCTTTAAATGATCTATTATCTGTTTCTGCTATCTAAACAATGAATCCTTTTTGTGCATGTAGTGTACAGTACACACGAGAAATTTCTGTCATCCAATTACAGGTGAGCATGCTTGCTTATTTCTCATCATTTGTAAAAGTCTGTAAACAAAAATATACTTGTACAACTACTTTAGATCATTGATATAACTGTAGAAAATTAGATTAACCAAGTTATTCTCTCACATCTTGTAAACAATTGTATATATAAAAATAAATTCAATAATAATTGATTAGATAGCATAGAAAGCTAAAATTTAATCGAACATGTAATTTTATTTGTAATTGACTTATTGCTCCTTCTACACGAGACATAATTTAAATAATTTCAAATTCCTTCTGTCACCTATTGTCAACGTATTTATCCTGTCTCACCTAAAAGTGTGACATAATAAACATTAGCCAAGATTTGCATTCGCTTGCAGACAGAAATAAAATATGTATGCATTTCAACCTATAAATTTTATTTTATATTATTGGAACATGTAATTTGCATAATGTATATTTTTGACATTTTAACATGGATATCTGGCATTTTTATGTGCATGTGTAAACACACATGTTGAAATTTTAAATGCATATAAATCTGGGTATTCATTATCATTTTTTTAAATTGCATCTGTAAAATTAAATACTTATGAAACTGAACAAGTTATTCCTGTAACATGATTTTTTTGAAGTAAATTCAAGATATTTTGATAAATTATTTTAAAAGAAAATTCATTTTCTTATATAAGAATGTAAGTTAGCATTCAGCATGTTAATATTTTTAATCTCTTTTTTTTTATAGGATGAAATGAAATTTGGATATAAGAATGTTTTGTCTGTAAACAGTAGTAATGGTACTACCAGAAAAAAGCGGGACAAAATCTTAGGAAATGTTATGGATTATATATATACACAGCTTTTGAAATCTGAATCTCAACAGGCTGCTATATCAGAAGGATGCATTCAGTTTCCAAATAATTCAATTACGTGTGTAGATTACGTTTATAAGAATCCTCAAGTTTGGCGACAGAAAAAGGAGAAATTGGATCAGTTGATTAAAGAATTGCGCCAAAAGTTGGATGAATTGAAGGTAATTATGATTTAAGAAATATACAGTACACTTTTATTATCCGAACTAATTATTGTATAGAGATATTCAGATTAATGAAAAGTGTGGATTAGGATGTTCTGTATAAAATATAGGAAGACAAAGATACAGATGAATCAATTTAAAAATTTTTTTATACTGTATTTGTTATATACATTTTAACAAATATATATATAATATATATTAGTTTTATGAATTCTTCTGATTTTAAAAAATAATGTTTTCATTTTTGGCTAGAACATGCAGCAATATAATGAACAAAATTGGTTCAGATTAGCAAATGTCCACTGTAATTTATCTACAGAATTCATTAACTTTTTATTCCATGTAACATGAATTTCTAATGCAAATTTTTATATATACTAACATATGTAAGTTAATTTAATATTTACTGTGTTCAATTTTTTTAGTAATACTTAAAAATCTGTTCTCTTTTAATATTACATAATAATAATATACAAACAAACTCACATTTATGTACATAAAACAGCATTTATTATGATTGTTTTCCAAGTTCCATTATACACTGTAGAGCAGGGATGGCAAACCTTTTTATGTGTAGTTAGTTTATATTTTTATAATATTATCTGTATAATAAAATGTAACAAATATTTTGCTAAAGATAAAACTTCAGTATAGAAGCACCTTTATATTCACTCATTCTTTATTTCACATTGTAATTTAATATTTGAAACCGTTTATTATATTTGTAAAGATAAAATTCACATATAGAATGAGCAAAAATAATGAAACAACAGATAAAGAAGACAGTTAAATAATTTTTAATATTTTTATTTTAAACTTAATTTATTGCTATTTGTTTTGCTGATCATTAGACCGCACTAATAGATTGTACCTTATATTTGCACTATTTTAGTATCGGCTTTTACATGGATAGTAAAAATTGTTTTTTTTTTATATTAGATTGCATTATGAATATTAGTGTAATATTTTGAGAGGATTTAAATTAAATATTCTTTACCCCTTACAAGTCACTATTGTAGGAATCCAGGGGTTAAGAGAGGATTCTCTTTAACCCATGTTTGGTGTCAGATCGGAAAGATCTGCCTGCAGGGTCACTGGATGGGATTTTATTAATATTTAATTTGGGTACAGGAAATTCTTATTATCTTCCCATCGATTTTTCCTGACACCAGCCTAATTTAAGCATTTGGCATGCTAATGAATAAATTTATATACTTTTCCGAGAGGGAGGGATTGTAGATCTGTGATAAGACTTTGGCTGATAATTGAGATAAAAAACGAAGCCATTTTAATGAAACAAAACAAATTTTAATAGAAACGAAAATAAAATAAAATAAAATACAAATACATAAGGAAATTCTAAGTCCCTGTCTTGAATGTGAGAGAGAGTTTACATCAACTTAAACTTACTACCTCAATTATAGGACGTGGAGAGGCTTGTTGATCTTCCTCCAAAAGCAGTAGCAAAGGCAGCGAGGTCATATGGATGTCGGCTGGCAGAAGATGTGGAGTGATGGAGAAGGACTTGGGATCGTGCACCAAGGAAAATTGACTGAGAACTATCCAAATTGTGGGAAATCACCCATTTTATACGTAAATCTCCTCCAATAGAAATTATGGATTTATGTCCACTGATGGGATGTACAGTACAGATGGGTTAGATATACAGATATTTGTTAAGGTTAGAGATAAGCACCTGTAAAGGAAGTTAATTTCCCCTTTTGTTACAAAAGTGTTAAATGTGTCTTCTGTTGATGGGAACAAGATGTGAAAGATATATATATTTTCTTACTTTAATTTAACAAATATTTGAAAAGGGAGGAGTTCTTAAAATATTCACAAGTGAAAGGGGGTTAAATTAAGATCTGAATTAAGGTTGTTTTCTAGAGCGATAAATATACTGAATAAATTTTATAATTTCTGTTCTGATTCTCACACTCATCTAAATGAAAGTCCTAGTCACAAAAATTAAAAAAACCAAGAAAAATAATACTTCTCAAAGACAGAATTAGGGCTAGGATACTTTTTAGAGAGGAAATTCGGTAGCTATGCTTGAAATTTTGTCGGAAATAAATATCTAAGATAGATATTTATTTTTCTTATTTTCGTAAGATATCTTAAGAAATAGAGATATTAGAAATGCTTTGGCAAAATTTATTTTTATGAAAACATGTTTGTATTTTTTTTTAATCATATATTTTTGGTAATATTGCTTTGCATCAAAAGCCTTCTATGAAAGAAAATGTGTTTTTCTTTATTGTAGTGTGTGGAATATGAATCTGAAGTCCAAAATCTTCTATTACCCACAGTTTTTTTTAATATCATTTTTTTCAGAAAAAAATGCTTCTTTTGACCAACTTGGTTACTGTTGTTTGAATAAAATATAAATCTGGAGAAAACATGTTTAGCTTATATAAGATCCAGCAGAGATCCAAGGAACTCAGCCTTGGATTCAGACTCAACAAGTCATGCATGTAAAAAAAGTAACAGGACTGTTTCTGCTACATTTATGGAGAATTAACTTTGAAAGTGCAATGCAAATCACTGATGCCTCTAGTGAAGAAAGCATACTATTGTTATTTCAGCTGTAAAGTGGAAGATCAAGACAAAACTTGGACTCCTAAAATATGATAATTTGTGCATGCAGACACTGACTGGATGGTTGAAGGGCACACACAACCTTTTGCTGTCCGTATGGTCTGGTGGGAACTTCAGAATCACATGGATGATTGTTACTTTTGCATAATTGACATCAAAGACCTTACAGTAAAATCAAAAAAGCAAGATACAATATCCCAACTGTCCATCTGTGCTTTGACAGATGGACAGTTGGGATATTGCCTCATGATGAATTGATACTAGTACCCAGCCCCACTTCTGAATTTCATGGAAGATTCAGAAGAGGAATCTCATTCTGAAGACTCCTCACCAAAACGACAATCAAATTGTGATGAGCATCTATCAGGGAGTTCTACAGAACACCACAGCTCATCAATCAGTCTCAGTTGAATGATCTGATCTATGATTTAGATCTTTCAAAGAAAGGCTGAACTGCTTGCATCATGTCTTCAGAAGTGGAAACTTTTGGAGAAAGAAGTTAAAGAAGTTAAAGAAAGTCCTGTTACAGAAAAAAGTAATCAGGAAATATGAAACTTTTTCAATGGAGAACAATCTCAATTTCAATCTTATTTTTTGAAATTATATAGTGCATTTGTTGGAGGATACTCGTTTCGGGGAAAACTTAACCCAGCAGATAGGACAGCATGGAATGCATTCAAAAACACAAACAAAGCTTTTTGGGGAATGAACAAGCTAATAACTATGAGAAAATTGCAGAGAAGTTAATACCATCCTACCAAACACTGGACTGCAATACATCACTCAAGAAGCATTTCCTGCATTCTCATTTAGATTTTTTTCCTATGAACCTAAACCTAGGAGCTGTTTCTGATGAACAGGGAGAAAGGTTCCACCAGACTCTTTCTCAAATGGAAGAGATATAGTTGAAGGTGAAATGAAAACATGCTAGCAGTTTATTCCTGAACTTCAAGCAAGAGACTTCAGAAGAATATAAAAGGAAGAAAAGTTTCATTAAGAGTTTGTTTTTAAATATTTATAATTAGGAAAAATGAGTAATTAACATAAGTTTATTTGTATCTAATTAGCCAATTAGCAATGTGTGTAGCCAATAAATTTATAATAAAGCAAGCAATGACCATTCCATGGAAAGGACAGATGCAACTCACAGATATGGACTTTGCTGATGATATTGCACCCAAAGATGCAGAGTATGATCACAAGCCATGAACATAAGGCTGGAAGAATGGGATTGCAGATTAGTAGTGGTAAAACCAAAATAATGTCCATAAATAGGCAAACAAAAGTAAAAATCACAGTTAGGAGTCAAACAATGGATGAAGTGAGGTGTTGAAACTGATATAAAATGCCAAAATGGTAAAGCATCAGCTGTATTTCAGAGACTATGCTCAATCTGATCCACACAGGCAGTCAGTATAGCAACTAAGATATGCTTCTACAAAACCATTGTTGTTTCAACTGCAATCTGCATCTGTCAAACATGGAAAGACACAAACAAGATTACTCAAACTCAACATATTCCATCAATGTTGTCTTCAAAGGATACTTTGAATTATATATTGTGACCATATCACAAATGAAGAAGCCCACAGAAGAAGTGACCTACACAAACTATTGGACATTATTATAGAGTGTAGAATGCATTTTGCAGGGAATGAACTTTATCTGCTGGAAGAACACTTGCCAAAAATAACTTTGTAATGGAAACCACACAGTGAAAAAAAAAACAAGGTAGACCCAACCTGGCACTCTACATATGAAGATCCAAAGATTAGCATTCCATGGGATGATGCTAAAACCATTGCAGATGACCACATTTGCTGGAGACAGCTGGTTGCCCAGTGTGTCACTTTGCACAGTAGTATGTAAAACTAAGACAAAGTAGCCAATAAATATGATATTTTGAACAGAAAATGTGTTCCTTCAAAAAACCTCATTTCTCTCAAAAGTAGTGGGTGTTAAGCCAATTCTGTTGCCAAGATTTGGATTCAGTACTATTGAAACTATAAAAATTGGTGGAAATGTTAGATGGGATTGGAAATAATTTTTTTTTTCAGAGTAGTATAATTTTATAAAACATTTTAATAGAACATAGTCACATATACATTGCAGACAGCCTGGAGACCCAAATTTATCATTCAACTTTTTCAGGTTCTACTGCTTTCCTTTCTTTTTATTGTACGCTAAAGATTTAAATTGGCAGTTAATATTAGTTTAAAATCATTTGGCCTAATTTATAATAAAGATAATTTATCAAAAACCCAAAATAAATATATACAAATCTTTTCTGACAATTAGGGACTTACGAATTAAGCTACAACTATCTTAGAACTATTTCCGCAAAAACTGACAAGCAAATATGAAAAATATCAAAAAAGCACAATGAACGTCAACTAATTCATCTAATCATCACCAAGAATTCTGTCACTTGAACTGGAAAGTCTTTGGTCAATCTCACTTGGTCCTTAGCACCACTTCCTCCTTATACTGCAGTTGGAGTGATATTATGAACATATGCCCACTCAACCCTATTTACATACTTACTCACTAACACTTCATTCATTCTAGTAAGTGACATGATTAAGTCATGTAATCTTCCTTACAAGTAACTTTAGAATTTTTTATGATGGTTTCAGTGACAATTTGAGGGTGGGAGATCATTCTTTTAACTTCCTGTGGAAATCCTCCCAAGATGTTTCTGGGTTGATTATGTAATGTTACCACCAGCGGTCATCACAGTGAAGTGAGTTAATTTTGAATTTTGCCCGGGTGAAGTACGTTAGTCTATCCTTAATGAAATAAAATGCCCCAAAATAAATAGAATAACAAACTTAAAATAGTCTCCAAACAAAATAGAATGGGTTAGAATTGACTCCCTACAACTGTGTGATATGGAATAAACCAGAATAAAACAAACGGTAATGATGTCTAAATAGAATAAATGGTAAGTTGATAAACACTTGCTTCCTTGTGACATAAATTGTCTGTACTGTTATAATGTATTTTTCTTTTCCCTATTTGTGGCAATTTTGCTTGATACAATAGAAGCTCCATATTCAAAGATTATATAATCTTTGAATATGGAGCTTCTATTGTATCAAGATTATAATATTAACTTATAGTAAAGAATAAAGATATAAAACTGTGTAAAATAGTAGTCTGCCATTATTATTATTATTTTTTTTAATGTCTGTGTAGAGATTTATACATACTGAGGTATAAATGTTATTTAGAGATAAGTCTTTTAAATAGTATAATAGGTACTTTCTCATAAACTGTCTAAAATTGTATTAATTTATTTTCAAGGGAATAAGAAGGCATCTTAAAAAGTCTCGTCCTTTTCCATATGACGATTTAAATGGAGAAAAAAAATCACAAAATAAACACTGCAAATGCTTGCCAGATTTTAAGTAAGTTATAAGTTGTTAACATTTAGTTATGAATATTACTTCTGATAAATAATTTTCACTGTTACATACTGAATTATTGCACTGTAAATTATTTTTTAACAATTAATAATTTATAGTTAAAATAAAAATTAATGAGATTTATTTAATTACTTATTATTAATCACTTATGAGAATGTGCACACACATGAAATATAATCAAGTCTTTCTCACCACTAATTATTTTTAAAATAGCATTTATTCTGCAAAAAAATGACTAAAGTTCCTCTGAAGTACAATAGAATTTGTCTATTGAAATCATAAGCATTGTTATTAATTATCAAACATTATATTTATTTTTAAAGACTTTATTATGAAATACATATAGAGCAACAATACAGAAAATGACAGATTTACACCAATCAAACTTACGCATTTTCATTTATAGAATTTTTAAATGCTATAAATCTAACTTTTTTAAAAGATTGAATGCTACCAGAACTGAATATGCAAGATATTTTGTGAAAACACATAGAATAGATATAAAAGCTAAAAAAATTGCATGTCATAATTAATGAATAATTGCATTTGATTTTACATTTTATAAAGGTCATCTAGTATCATTAACAATAATTTGCACTTAAATTAATGCAAAATAATGTAAAATTATTCAATAATTTTTAAAAAATTGAAATCAGTCTTTTCTAATTGAGAATTGCCTATTATTCCTTTTGCAGTCAAAAATTACTTAGTATCTGTATATTGACCACAGTTGCTAATGAAAACATAGCAACTACAAGTTTCATAGCAGTGGCGTGCCGTGACATTTGATGATAGGGAAGCTGTGTTTCTATAAGAAGCCGACTTCCAGGGGCAATCAGTCAGCAATGGTCTAGGGTCCATTCGTATTCGTTTGTTCGATAAGCTAGTAAAAACCATAGACTTCTCTAAATGTATTTTTAATTAATAGATTATCTAACGCACTTAATAAATAAGCGAGTTCAATATAATTAACTCTCTTATATTAGATTTAATAGATTCTATACGCCCTCTAAATGCCAATTCTCGCTTCGATAACATCTACTAATTAAAATATATCTATTAGCCGTAACTATCTTGTTATAATTTT